CAACATTGAAAAGCGTGATGAACAAATTTTTGCAAAAAGAAATAGCGACTGCTGCACGTATCTCACAGATATCTCTCATTCAACACAAAGGTGTGGAAAAGTTCTATTCCTGTTCAAAACATACCCTGCAGTCTGAGTCACAGACGAAGAAGAAAATGACAGCAGGTCTTTTGTTCAACTGAGGGGATGTGTTTAAGTGTTTTATGGCTTACTCACTTTCCCGCCAAACGAGTACAGAGGAAGGAAGCGTCATTGCCATAGTAACCAGGCTGTAGGTAGTCTTACAGATTTGAGTCTTTATCGCTCAACGTTCGTAGCGCCATCTGTTATTAAAAATCGACATGAGAAAGGGGTATTAAACGCTCTTAAACTAAATCATTGCTAATAACAATTTTCAAATAATACCATTTTAATTTATTTACTCCTTACATTTAGAACAACGCATAAAAATAATATCCTCAAATGATTAAAAATACTAACTTGCCTAATCTTCTTCAGAATCTTCATTACGTTGCTGCAGTACTACTGCTAATTTCTAAATCCTAAATCCAGTAGTCAACTGGAAGTCTATTCACCAAGTAATAAGAAATTAATAAAATTTCACCTATACTCAAACTACTTTCAGCAAACCACGTACCCTTCCTTATACTCCTTTTCACAAAATATCCATTTTCACCATATTTCTTGCACGGCCATTTAAACTTCTAATATCCTTCCTTTCACACAATCTCAACTTATTATTATTATCAGATAAACGAATTAAAAATTTAGAATTCACTTTACATAGCGCCATGCAATCCGAAAATTAATCAACACTATTTCACACAACACACAATGAAGCTTTTCCAAATTAACCCCCTGTTCCGATTAAAGAACTGTAATTCATTCGTCATTGATGTCACGTTTCACACAAACACAGAATACAGCTAAATACGAAATTTCCAGATTTCCCCCCTTTTCCGATTAAACAACTGTAATTCGTCCATTAATGTCACATGACATATCTCATGATCTCTCATTTCCCTCACACAAAATAATGCGTAATCGGAACTGAGTGCTTCTCACATTATTACCAAAGTCCTAGGTAGTAACCTTTATCGCCTCCAAAATGTCGCCAAACTACCAGTTACCATATTCCAAAGATCAGCCAAATTGCTCTAACAGTCTGCAAAAAATAATAAGCCGAATCCAATTAGAAGATTAAGGAACAACACAGTTTGCAACATTAACTGAAATATATAATTTTAGCTTAGCTTATACCGTCCGTTATACATTAAATGCGCATGCATGAACGTATTATGCGTTGACGCATGCACAGAAAGTTTGTAGTTTTGAGGTCCGGATTATGGACGTCCATATTAAAGACTTTGGACTGTACTTCTCTAGAATTCTTACTGACATACTTAATAACATGTAAAGATCCATGACAGAGTCTGCTATGTTAAAATAACATAATTGAATAATGATTATTGGAGGTGCTAAGGCAACAAGAATCAGCATATCTTTGCGCAAAGGAACATGAGGCATACGGCATACATTAGAAAAAAAAAAAAAAGAAACACATTAAGTCCTCTGTTGATCAATGCTTTGGACTGAAATCTCATTTTTCTGCAGCTAAATTTATTCAGAACACATGTTCCATAGGTGAATTAGATTTCCTAGAGGCATTTCACATTCATAAAAATATTTCAGTTCTAGTTAATGATCGCAATTCCAATCCATCTTTATCCTCCGCTTTCGAGGAAATTATTACATGGTTGTTTTCATTTTTTATCAATAGATGGTGCAAGCAACTTGACTTCCTCTGTTATCTGATCACAGGCTTCTCTTTCATCATTTACACTTCTGCAGCTGAAAAGGACTCTATATTTAAACCTTCAAAACTAATCCTACAAATTTATGAAAATTAATGCTGATTCTTGTTGTCTTAGCACCTTCAATAATAATTTTCTGTTGTTCCTTGTAAACAAGGTCATATTGGTTGTCATATTTTCCTATGGTTTAGATAGGTGAAACTATTTATGGGTGAACTCTCAAGTTAGTTAATAGTAAGATACTTTACTGTATCAGCCATACTGAACAATCACTAAGATACACTAAAAAATGCCAGTTTGAAATATGAAAATTCAGTTAACAACAATAATTAACATATTTAAAGAACAAGGCATATCTTGCTCATGATTAACTAACAAAATTTTTTTTTTTTAAAAAAAAGCTTTTTAATATACCGGCATTTAAAAATATCAGCCCGAGTGAAAATCATCAAATCAATATAATGACAGGATAAGTCTTGCAATATTTACTCCAGAAAAGCTGAAGTAAATACCATACAGATTTAGTAACTATACATGAACAAAATTATGTTAAAATATATAGCAAGTAAAAGTTTAATGAAAAAAAAAAAGGACCTGCCCCCCCCAAAAAAAAGTGGAGAAGAATTTTTAATAGTATGCATGTTTTCCCATCAAGTTTGAGCTAGCGAAATATAGACATACAGTCAAAAGTCGTTAATCCGGAATGATCTATAATCTGGACCTCAAAGCTACAAACTTTCTGCGCATGCATATTATTATTTTTTGCAGACTGTTAGAGCATGTTTCGATGTCAATCATCTGTTTTTGCAGACTGTTAGAGCAATTTTATAAAAGTAAGCTTGAACTTTCGATTAAGTGAAAAAGAATTTCCGATTCTGGAGCTGCCAAAGGATCTACAAAGCGAAAGCATGTTTCAATGTCCATCAAACAAAAGTGGATAAAGGCATATCCTTTGTTTCTCTAACCATTCTGAAATCTTTTTATCAGTTTCGCACTGTTTTGCAAGGGAGGGTACGTCATGCGTGCAATGAACTGGAAGTTGATCTGTCAGCATTATCCTTATCTTCAGGGCAGATGTTTTTATTTTATTCGGCTTATAATTCCTTACTAAATGTAGTATTTCATCTCAATGTACTCTGATATGATTTGAATCAAATTCCTCATCATTATAAACATCACGAGTACACATAAATAGTTTTTTGGTTGCAATTTTCTAATTTCGACTATGCGTAATGTATGCTTTACACATGCGTGCGTTGAAAGAAATGTTTAATAAAGTAAACAAATAAATATTAAGCTTTTTTTTGTAAATTTTGATACCCTTTAGATCATAATTGCTCTTTATTTCATAAATTAAGGTTTCATATTTTCAATTTTATAATTTCTGCATGCCATCTTACCAGATTTAAACTGATGATCTATAATCCGGAATCGCCGAAGTCCCGACGAGTCCGGATTAAAGACTTTTGACTGTATTTTAAGTATTTTTCCATTAGTGGGACACTGGTCCATACATATGCAAGTGTGCATATATTAATTAAGAGCTAATATAAGAAAACAGAGTCTTGAAAAATTAATTATATATCTAATCAAAATGTAATGAAAAAAATGGAGGGGAGCAAACAGAATACATAAAATGTACATGCAATCTTACATGAACTCTATTAAGTAAGATTCTAAATGATGGCAAGCAGCATCCCTGGCATTTAATAGGATATTTTTAAGCACCCCGCAAATGCTTAACTGTATGGACATGGCAGCTGTTATCCAAGTCTATAAAGTTATATGCATGAGTTACAGTGAAATGTTCATGGCTGGCAGCTCACAATTCATTTGTCTTGTATGCTTTATAGCAATTGGGAGGAGGGAACCAGTAACAATTTTTCCTCAATCATGTCAATTAGGGTTTGGGCAGAACGGTCAGAATTATGGCAACTAAACTCTCATTTCTTCTCCAATAGTTTCCTAAAATGCATTGTGGTAACTGAACATGGCTTATGTTCTTTTCTTTTGGTGAATAATCTTTTATCTATTTGACCACCACCCCCTTTTTTTTTTGTGCTTCTGCTGATTTTACAAAATAAGATGGTAAAAGTATATTTACGGGTACCCCTTGGCAAAAATTGGAGATTTTTGGCAGTACATGGGATACCGAGTTTGTGCAATTCTTTGACTTGTTATTTTGGCTTTGTGTAGCGATAAATTGCCACTACACAAAGACAAAATAACAAGTCAAAGAATTGCACAAACTCGGTATCCATGTACACATTGACCTATTTTCACTTAAAAAAACATCACAGAATTGCACAAACTAGACATTACGCACTCCCTTGACCTTGTCCATGTACAATTGATATATTTTCACTTAAAAAGTCAAAGGAGCACCCAATTCTACAGTAGAGGCAAACAAAAAATACATAATCTCAATAAATTACATTTTTAAACCAAACAAAAAATAAAAAAAAAAAAAAAAAAAAAAAAAAAAAAAAAAAGGAAAAACCTCTTATGCATTTAAGCACCACACAAAGCAGATACCCACTTACCTTATTTAGAAATTTCTTAGTCTTCAGTCTGTGGCACAAAAAAATCTTTTAACAGCATCCAAAAACTTCCTAAAATTATCTGAACTAGAATCTGTATACTGGCATCGCCACATAAATTCACAAAAATATCCTCCATAGTGCCAGTATCATCCGGCGTTCGACCATACGCATTTCCTTCCTACAAACAGGACACTTAATAATGGCTACTAAGTAAACCTTCATTTACACACCAGTCAATTAATGCTCTTTTTCCCTTTTGTTCCAAATCATACAAAAACTTCAAATTAATTTTAATACATTCAGTCATTCTACTGTTTAAACAATAAAACAAGCAATGTACACCTTAAGCTCTTACAAAACATCCCATAATTCAAAATTTACCGCAATCATGCAACCGATTACGTCATAATAGGGTTTCCATAACATTCAACTACTCAGGTTACCATAAATGAAACAACAATCTGGCGATAATACAAGGAGTACCCTTCAGTCTACTCTAACCAATAAGATATCATACCTCATATATATGGTTGTTCAAATCCACAATCATATTTTGGAAAAGGCATATAACCAGAACTCTGAAGAAATCGACTTAAGAGATATCTTTGACTGCTTCTGCTGGACTCCCTGCGGAATTTTACTTTTGTATATAGTCTTTCTAGTTGTGAGAAAAATGCACTTTGATGAGTTTATGCACTGAATATTTGTAAAAATGCACACTGTACCTGAAGCTCGGACCAGCATCTCTCCAGCCTACCAGACACCGCTATAGCCTCACGTGACAAAGTAGTCACACCTTCTTTCATTTTGCATCCTGTCCTCCGGACACACTCAAGCATTTGCTATACCTGCAATGTACTTTTTATTTCATGACAGCTGGTATACAGCTTGCTATCAGCAAGCTACACACGGCAATAGTGGGAAAAGGAAAGGAAATCGACTCTTGATATCACCAACGCGTAAACTGGATGACAGTAAGGACAGGGTTGCACTATCATTTAAGCAATGTTTGTGTTCACAATTCTTTCATTTCCTAACATGATCATGGTTGGCAAATCCTATTTTAGTCAAACTCAGTATAATCTGGTGATTATTGAAGCTTCCTTTGCGAGTATCTCTCCATCCTGAAGCAATTTGATGGCAGCATCTTCATCTGAAAACCTAATTTTTGATTTAAGATTAACACCCTTTGCATGGCATCACGCAGAAATTATTAAACCCTCACCCACATTTGGTCTGGTGATTTCCCATAGAAAAGTACATTAATTTTCCTCATCTTAAAGCAATCTATGAAAGGAAATATGAAATACTGCAAGTATCTGTGACAAATAACCATAGAAATATTGTCCAGAACATAACACAATCTGATTTTGAGAATGCAAAACATAATTTGGCTGACCTTTACTGTAAGGTAACCCTTGGTTTCTGTCTGAAAAAAATCACCAAGTGGTATTGGCTTTTCGTGAAATCTAAAAGCCTGCTACGTGAAATAGGTTTTTCGGTAACCCTAATGTTGGAAAAACTAGCCTTGGGGAAAACTGTGGTTTTTTTTAGTTTTTGTTGTTAAAAAGGGATTATTTCTGTGATTACTGCCAAACGTGTTGTGATAAATTTAGATTTTAGCTTTTTTTTTTTGCAATAGTAACCCTTTTGTATGAAAACATGGGTTTGGCTTTCAGTTGCTGTGGTTGCACGTGTGTGGTATGGTCTTGTATTTTGAGCTTGCTATTATTTTGCTATGGGTACTTTCATTTGAGTATGTCTGAGGTGGGTAAGAGGATGAATGCTGATTAATAGCAGATGAGCCGAAGCGATCAAAAATTTAATTGAATTGATTACGTGGAGCATGGAGGTGGGAAGCGTGAACATGTGCACGTGAAGAAAAGGTTTGTTAAAAAATTGGCGTTTCATTTACTTATTTGTTACTGTGTGTTAATTTTTGTTAAAAAATTTGTTGTTTAATCTTCTCATGTTAGGAAATATGTGTTTTTGGTTTATTACTCTTTCTCTGTGTTAAGACAGAGGCAAATTTTTTCTGGTTAACATGATAGTTTTAGCTTCCTGATTTTGTTTAAGTGAAAATAGATTGATGTGTACATGGACAAAGTTAAGGCAGTGCACAATGCCTAGTTTGTGTGATTCTCTGATGGTTTTTTAAGTTAAAATAAGCCAATATGTACATGGGTACCAAGTTTGTGCAAGTCTGATTTCTTAGGTTTGGCGTAGCAGGCGGAAGGATCAGTACCATCTTGAAATTTGTGCAGCTCCTTCCCGGCGCCAATCTTGGCATAAAGAAAAAGACAATTCGCCAAGAGGTATCATTTTAACCCATAATTTTTCATGTTTATTCTCTTAGGTTTTATAGTAGAATATTGAGCAGTTGTTCCCAATATGACATGGAATACTGAACTACATATATTATAAACACAAAAAGCTAATGATCTGGTGCATCTATATAAAAAAATTACTGCTCTTTAAAATTAGTAAGAGCTCACTTACACAAAAATATTAATGAAAATGAAAACATAGAGCTCTTACACTATGCTATTGAATACCAAGCACTGAACAGTACCAATATATCTGAATATGGATGACCTCTGAAAGAATAACCAGTGACCTTTCCCATTGTAAATACGCATATACATTCTCTGTCGCTAAAACTCAATAATAAATTATAAAGAAATCTCGCTTACCTGTCAGACGCATTCTCGCCTTTTGTCATTTTCTCTTAAATTTTATTTGACAACACAATAAATGGAAGCACATATAAACTTAGTTATATGTGTTTCGCGTTCATGTTTCATCTCTCTCAGTCATCAAGGTTCTGCACTAGTCCAAAGAATTCAAGCGCACACAGCGCCATCTGGTGCAATACAGTTTCTACACCCATTAATATATGAGTGTTCACTCACAAAACAATTTCTCCTATCCAGACCATCTGCAAGCATTAAAACAGTTTAGAAAATCATGCCTACAAGGAAAAACATAGGCTTGACAACTTATTAAATATATCAACAACCATACCATTGAACTCTTGAGGATATATGATAGTTTTAATACTAAATATTATTGCATATCTTTTTGCAATAATGTAACTTGCAAAGCAATTACATTCATTTTAATCTTTTTGTAATATAAATAGCATAAATTTCATCATCTCATGTTATCATATGCAAATGCCTTCACAGGTAATACTTCCAAACTTCTTCAACAAACTGTTGCTTTTACGTTTAAAGGAAAGAACAGGGAAGAGTCGAACAGCTGAAAAATAAAAGCCGTTTGACATGTTATCCTCCGCTGACTAATTTTCTCGGAAGCTTTATATAGATATGCGGTCGCCCTGTCCGCGGTATGCAGGAGGCGGAAGAAGAGTATTAGCACAATATAGACCAATGTGATAATCTAACTTTTTACGAATTTAAATAAAGATTCTTCAAGAAATCCATTTAGAAATTTATTTTTCTCCTTTACAGTCAATGAGTTTCAGAAGTAAGGGTTTACTCAAGGCAATTTGAATCTTCTTAAATGAGTATTCCGTTTACTTATAATTATAGGTACAAACCCAGTTCGGTCTATGAACTTCAAAATATATTACAAAATCAAACGAAAATTCATAGTAAGAAATCAGTATTGTGCAATCTCATTTGGTGGATCTTTAAATTTGTTAACTGCACATATACCACGTAAGAAATGTGAAACTAAATAGAACCACTTTAACAAAATTGATTTCACCATAATCTAAAATCAGAAAAAGCTAAGGTGATCTCATTTTATGAAAAACTGCACGTGTTTTACTATTGCCAACACAAAAACAACACTTTTTGAAGTATTCTTACTTTAGGCCTATAGGTTAGGATCACACCTTCAATCTTATTTTACGAATTGAATTGTCATAATATTCAGAAAAAAGAAACAAAATACAAGAGACTAATTAATAAGAAAACACATCGTAACTTACCGTTTAATTCGCATCAAACATTGTGGAGATGGGGTTTCTTTGCCCCAGTCTACACTCATTGTTGGGTCCCATCGTATATTTTCTGTGAAACCAAATGCCGCACTTAAAACTGTTGTTGAAGTACCAGAAACACTGACAACCATAACATCATTTTCTTCGGCACTTTCGGCCATTTTCTATTTAGAGATAATCGATTTTTAATCTGACATTTACCATTCCCTTAAGTCTGAAACTACAAACAACATAATTGATGGGGTTGAGATGTTGTTCCCTTCCTGCTCCCGCTTTATTAACACATCATTCTTAGTTCATTTTCACTATCAAATATGTTTGGCCTTTTACTGATTTATGATATTAAATTATATTAAAACTTGCTCTTTTGACAAATAAGTTTCTATTTTATTCTTGATGTGTTACATCAACGGAGTATAATGTTGTCATTAAATTTCATGATATTTACCACATGTGATTTGGCTACTTGCATGGTGTTTTTATTTACACCTTTCAGAGCGCGTATATGTTTTTCAAAGTGTGTCTCAGAACGGAGAGTCTGAATATTCAAGAAAAAGTTCGATTTTATTATATATATTCATAATGGAATTGGGAAGTGGAAAATTAATGGAAGAAGCTCAGAAAAGGCGAGAGAAGCTAGCGAATCTGCGAAGACGTGTGGAAGAACAAAGTGATACTCAAAATGATGCTCCTGAAGTAGAGCTGCCTAAGTAATATATACTTTCTAAATTGATATTTCTGAAATCACGGATTTCGTACTTTTAAAGTTTTTTGCTCTTATTCTTCCTTATTCCTATTTTTGCTGTTATTATACTGTGTTAAGTTATCGTAATAGTATTTCATTCTTTATTACCTTAAGAGAATTACTAAATATATACGGATTCAAGTAATTCAATGTTCTCAGTCATAATATAAATCAAAATACATGTATAGCTGAGCTGCGAATAAGATAGGCTCACGAGAACGTTCACAATGTTGAATTTGTACCTCGGGCTCTGGCAGAAAATTTATTAATAAATAACAAAACCATATATGAAATATATGAAAACAGAAGCGTGCTGTATGTAGGGAACAGTCAAAAGTAAAGTATTAAATTCACTTGTGTATATATATGTTTACATCCAAGTGTGTGTGAGTGTGTCTTGATTTTCATCATCAGACAAAAATCTTTACTGTCCAATGCGAAAACTTAAATAATCCTTGATGTAAAGCTTAATATGTGGCAATAATAATATTATATAATGCTGTAATAATCATACTTTATACAGAAATAATAGGTTGCAAATGCTATGATACCATTTTGGTGAAATAAACAGAACATTAAAAAAAAAAAAATTGCTAAAAAGTTTAGGTAGGAGAACTTGAAATAATAAATAAATGTTAAATTAAGTGTTAATATCCTGTAAGATGGAAGGAATATTTTTAAAAACAAATTAAAAGTAAATGATTGTAGAGAGAACAGAGTCGAAACTTTATGATTAAGATTTGATTCTACTGCTGGAGGGAGGTCAGTTTTATAAAAAGGTATGAAAGATCTTTTTAATCTCTTCAGTAATTTAATTTAATTAATTATTCCTTTTTGACACTGTAGAAAAGGGTAAAAATATATTTACAGGTACCTCTAGGCGATTTTTGGCAGTGCATGGATACCGAGTTTGTACAATTCTTTTACTTGTTAATTTGGCCGCTACACAAATTCAAAATAACAAGACAAAGAATTGCACAAACTCAGTATCGATGTACACATCGACCTATTTTCACTTCATAAAACATCAGAGAATTGCACGAACTAGGCATTGCGCACTCCCTTGACTTTGTCCGTGTACACATTGAGATATATTCACTTAAAAAGTCAAAGGCATAGTGAACAAAAAATATATAATCTCAGTAAACTACATTTTGAATCAAACAATGAAATAACATAAAAAAGAAAATTTATCTTTGCACTACACAAAGGAAATATCCAGTTATCTTATTTACGAATTAACATTTCAAACAAAATTCCTTAACAGCATCCAAAAACTTCCTAAAATTATCTGAACTAGAATCTGTATACTAGCGTCGCTACACAAATTCACAAAATAGGAGTAAAAACTATCATCCGTAGCGCCATTTATCGTCCGATATTCGACCATACGCATTTCCTTCGTACAAACGGGACACTTAATAATGGCTACTAAGTAAACCTTCATTTACACACCAGTCAAGTAATGTTCTTTTCCCCTTTCTTTCCAAATCATATGGAAACTTCAAATTAATCTTACCACATTCAGCCATTTTACTGTCTAAACCACAAAAGAAGCAATATATTTCTTAACCAATACACACAAGCCCTTATGAATTTACCACAATCATGCAACCGATTACGTCATAATAGGGTTTCCATAACATTCAACTAGTCGGGCTACCATAAATGAAATGATAACTTGGCGATAAATGAAACAATAACTTCAGGATAATACAACAGGTACCCTTCTCTCTACTCTAACCTAAAAAAGTATAAAAATTACAAATTAGAAGACCATTTCTGTTTCCTTCAAACCACGTCTGATTGAAAAATTTTGGTAAAGCAATAAAGAAAGGGGATTGGGTGTAGTATGCTAATATTAATAAAACTGCAATAAATATCCAAATATTGATTTCTAAAACAGTGGCGAACTTGAAGAAATAATCGTATGATTAAATTGGCTGCTCTAGAGTTCCCAGTGTTTTAAATTCTAGAATTATTTATTTAATCAATTATTTCATTATTATAAGTTGAGTCATTTGAAATGATAAATTTTGGCCTTTTAGCAAAAAATTATAACAGAATTCTTGAGGGAAATAATGTACTTTCACTCTTCCTTGGTTAACAATACTATTATGTTTTTTTGGATCTACTCTTATACATGTGCTCGGTTTGTGACAATTTTTTTGCCAAACTATTTATTTAATTAATTATTTCATTATTATAAGTTGGGTCAATTTAAATGATAAATTTTGGCTTTTTAGCAAAAAACTGCACCAAAATTCTTGAGGGAAATTATGTACTTTCTCTTTTCCTTTGTTAACAATAATATCGTTTTTTTGGAACCACTCTTATACACACTCTCGGTTGGTGACAAATTTCTTTCCAAACATTTTTGGCGAGAAACTCCAAGGCACCATATTACTATCTAAATTTTTTGTCTACGTTTCAAACTTTAAGCCTAAAATGTCTGCAAAAACCACGTTTTTAACACACAATTTATGCCAAAAATCCAAAACAAAAACACAAAAATTTAGATAGCAAAAAAGTAAAGTTTGTAACCAAAAATATTTGACAAGAATCCATGTACACAGCGATCTGTTGTAACATAAAAAAAAATTAAAAAATTGCACAATCTATGCAGTGTAGAAATCTAGGAATTATGCACACCTCGTTAAAATAAACTAGCATAACAACAATAAATTTCAAACAATACCATGTATGCAGTGTTCTGCTTAAAAAAAAATCAGCAAGTTGCACATTCTAGGCATCAGCTCTGCCAATGCACACAAATAAACAAAATAAACTAAAATAAAATAAACAAATTAAAAAAAAAAAAAAAAAAACAATAATGACAAAAATTCATAAGGGAAAAAAAAAAAAAAAAAAAAAAAAAAAACCGAACATACCTTTCTCCAAAATAAGAACAGCAATAAAATAAAATACACTTTCCATTGTGAATGCTTCTTCAAACAGCAGAAATATCAATTTCAAACATCTTTTGATACACAGAGTATACAAAGTTCAGCATACATTTGTGAATAAAATCTGCATAAACACACCCGTGAACAAAAGACTCGTTAACAAATTCAACATTGTACCTTTTAATACTAACTTTATCTTGCACACAGTCCAAAATATGCAACTGAAATTTTGCCACCACGTCTTTCATTGCAATATAAGCCATTTCAAAACATCCACCAAACCAACCACTTCAGCAAAATAAAGTTTCAACATCAAAAGGGCTGCCATACAAACAATATCGTGCCAAAAACTATCACAGAACACACAATCGCACCAAAAACCAGCGCAGAACACACAATCGCACCAAAAAACCAGCGCAGAACACATATCGCCGCATTTGGCGACACGTCTGTGGGCGTATATGAGAGTAGTACTTGTTTTTTTAAGAAATTTTTTTATAATAAGTGTATATTTATGTTATTGAGTACTTCCTTCCCTATGGAAGTTAAAATTTCTCTGTATTCTAAATAGGCCAATTTTTCGGAACTATACTCCAAATGATGATGATTTGAGAAACAATCAACTTCCTAAAGCTAAGCCAGAGTCTGGTAAATCTTGTATTGTATTCTTATTATTTTATTATCTGTGTGAGTAAAGCTATAAATGTAAAAAGGGTACTTTACTGTTAATGGAGTGCAGTTGCCAAATATGCAGTAAAGTGACAAATGTGTTAGTTTGTTGTTTAATGTGCAGGGCTGAATTAGTGCAATTCTTTGTTGTTTCTTTAAATGACAACAGATCAGTGTATACATGGTGAGAACAATGGTCGATGTGTACTTGGGAAAATGATACAGCATTAATGGTTGCCATGTTCATGGGAAAATAAACTGTTGTTCTTCCTTTGTACATTCTGTTTTTACCTGTAAAAACTCAGAGAAATGCATCATGCACACCTTCACATTGTGCCCAATTAAAGTTGTTGCATCTAATTAGATTTCATGTCTGTGTTTGTGTTTGACACTAAATGACACTCTGTTAACAGAAAAGTATCTGAAAATTTTAATAATTTTTTATTTAAATATTATAAACATATTTACAATATATACATGTCAGTAAAAATATATTTACAGGTGCCCCTTAGTGAAAATTGAGGATTTTTTGCAGTACGTGGACGAGTTTGTGCAATTCTTTGACTTGTTATTTTGGCTTGTGCCAAAAATCGCTGCTACACAAAGCCAAAATAACAAGTGAAACAATTACACAAACTCGGTTTCCATGTATACATTGACCTATTTTCACTTAAAAAAAACATCACAGAATTGCACAAACTTGGCATTGCGCACACTCTTGACTTTGTCTATGTATGCAGCGATCTGTTTTCACTTAAAACTTCAAAGCAGCTAGTTCTACACTAGAGCCAAACAAAAAAATATAATCTCAATAAACTACATTTTTAATCAAACTGTGAAATAACATGAAAAAGGAAATTAATCTTAGCACTACAGAAAGGAAATATCCAGTTACCTTAACATTTCAAACTAAATTCCTTAACAGCATCAAAAAACTTCCTAAAATTATGTGAACTAGAATTTGTATACTGGTGTCGCCACATAAATTCACAAAAATAAGATAAAGTAAAATAAAAATAATTTCATTTATACACCAGTCAGTTGATGCTTTTTATACATTTCCTTCCAAATCGTCCAGAAACTTCAAATTTATCTTACCACATTCATCCATTTTACCATGTAAACCGAAAATAACCATTGTGCTTCCTAATCAACATCCAACACAGCAAGTCCTTACAAATCTTTTCTGATCATTCAAATTCACCGCAATCATGCAACTAATTACATCATAATAGAGTTTCTATAAGGTTGCGTTCAGACAGCGGCATAGAGGCGTAGTCATAAGGGCATAAAATACGGAAATTCTGTTCACACTTGCGAGAACGGGGTGTAAGCCGTGGCCAATGAGAGAAGCTAAATTTGCGCATGGGTGGATGTGTCTACAACTTTCCCGCACTGTTCTCCTGCTCGATTGATTTTCCTCGTTCGCTCTGCTTGTATTGTGACAGCGAAATCTTCTGTAGAACGCCGCTACATTTTAGCTTCTCTCTGATTGGTCGACGCTTATAATATTGCTAAATTTCAAATCTATGAGAAACCCAGATATTCAAAAATGTTAATTTAGGACATGAGTGCTATGAAATTATCTAAAAATATTGATATCTATATGATGACATTCTCTGTTAAGAAAGTTTAAAATAAATATGTAAATTAAAAATGTGTGATGCTTGTTTAAAGCTTAGTGCTTAGTAATGATCCTTTTTTATATGATATATCAAACAAAATTTAGAAATTACTTTTTTAAAATTGGATTTATTTCATAAAATTTTACAGAATTTTTTTCATTCTTTCAGTTGAAGTTGAAATAAAAGACCACCTTGAAGCAACTAAACCAGAACCTTTGATAGATGAAGTTGTAAGTTATGAATTTCATTTATATTATGTGCTTATTTAAACACACTTTTATCAACAGCTATTCAGCTACCATCTATTAATATTGTAATCAATTTAATTTTATCTTAGTATGTTAATGAAAACCATAATTAGTGTACTGTATATTTTTAATGATAAACTTTAAACATCTAAAATTAATATTGAATTGGAATCAAAGCAAGGCAATTCCTCAACAATGTTAATAATTGTTACTGTGTGTAAGATGTTTAACACAATATCTAAACAAATCAAAATTAAAATAAGAATCAGATGCACTCCAAGCTTTTAAGATGTTAATTTGAGAGCAGGGGAAGGGATTATTATGTACAAATATTTGCAAATGTGTTCCTAACAAAGTGCCACACATTTTGAATAGAACTTAAAACAAAGTTGTAATACACATTTCAAATGAAATAAAACTTGATATTCAACACTTATTTCAAACTTTAATATGTATCGAAGGATAAGTAAATTTAGGGAAAGTAAATGTCTTTCTTTAGAAATAAGATATTACAGTTAGAAAATTATTCCCAGAAATATTAGCCGAAATAATTATACATTCTGAAATACTATTAACCCAATAAACATTTGAAGGTCTACTATATGTATTATTTTGTACATTTTGACATATTTATTTTTTGCCAGTTTGGTTTGGCTGGGGATAATTGTCTAACCATCACTCCTAATGAATAACCATTTCATGAAATTAAAATATGACTGGAAGTTGAAATGTCTAACATGGCTTGATGCTGTGAAGATAAATGTATCCATGTACAAATGTGGTTTGTTGGATCATAAATTCCTTTTGTAACTGCCTTACATTTTTATTTATGCTGACAGGAATTATAGTCAAAAGTCGTTAATTTGGACACCCATAATTCGGAATGATCTATAATCCGGACATCAAAACTAAAAACTTTCTGCGCATGCGCCGCGTTGACACATGCGCATAGGCGTTTACGCGTGCGCGTAAGACCTTTTACGACTGCGCATATCAGTGTGTGCAAGTGCAGAATACGTTTTCGCGTGCGCGTTTTATGTATAATGGACGTATAAACTAAAATTATCTATTTCAGTTAATGTTGATGATTGCGTTGTTCCTTAATTTTCGAATTGGATCCGGCTTATTATTTTTTGCAGACTGTAAGAGCAATTTTATAAATGTAAGCTTAAACTTTCGATTATATCAAATAGAATTTCCGATATATATTTGTTAATATGTAAAGGATCTAAAGCGAAAGTATGTTTTGAAATCCGAAATCTGTTTATCAATTTCACGCTGCTCGGCGGGGGGAACGCCGCGCCGTGGCGGGCGCGTAATGAATTGGAAGTTGATTTGTCAGCACTATCCTTATCTTCAGCGCAGATGTTTTTATTTGGCTTATAATTCCTTACCAAATGTAGTATTTCATCTCGATATGCTCCATCTTTGATATGATTTAAAACAAGTTCCTGGTCATTATAATTCGCTTCCGATAGCGAAAAAAAGTAACAGAGGTTATTGAAAACGAAAAAATTTCGATTGACAAATTAGTCGGTGTTCTTGACACAGCAATTATAGGACTTGAACAGCGGAACTTTGTAACTGAACAAGAAATTATGTCTGTTTAATAGAATTAAAGAGAAAGTAATTATCACATGAAACGAAGCAAAACTTACAACTTACATTAAAAGAAATGTTTAATAAAGTAAACAAATAAATATTAAGCTTTTTCTTTTTGCAAATTTTGATACCCTTTAGATAATAATTGTTCTTTATTTCATAAATTACGGTTTTATATTTTAATTTTAGAATTTCTGCATGCCATCTTACGAGATTTAAACTGATCATCTATAATCCGGAATCGCCGAAGTCCCGATGAGTCCGGATTAACGACTTTTGACTGTAATGCATATTAAGCTTTGTAAATAAATCGCAACATAACAACTGACTGAGTTAATTACATGAGAGAAGTATATGCCCATTCCTGGTTATCTTGTCCTAACATTAAAATTGTTAATTGCTACAAAACTGTGAAAATTGACAAAAGTTTATTAACAAAAAAAGAGGGGATGACCATGTTCATGTTCTTTTCCATTGGAGTTTTATCATGAAACTAGATGAAAGCATGAGGGGGAAAATAAGCTAAAAATGCATCAATATAACAGAACAGAAAAGCACACTGCTGTGTTCCCTTGCCATTCTGATTAATGTTTTATGATGATAATGCAGTGTAATTGGTTGGTGATGCTGACTGCCATATTTGGGCCTCTGTTTGAATCACAGAAAATATGGCTAAATGTGTAATGTTTATGCAGCATAGAGATACTTAAAATACTGACAAGTTGAAAGTCCTGATTGGTTCAGTGATAGAGTAAGACGGGTGGGAGATCCTCAGATATGTCCCCTGGAGTGTTCTCCATCAAAATTAAGGTGGAGCTCTGCAGTTAGTAGAGTCTGACCAATGGTGAAAGTTGGTGACCTTAGAATTTTTCTGTATAGGGGCTACATAAAGATGGAAATTTTGTATTTCTATAAATTTAATTCCTTGAAAATTTTAATTGATTTCATAAAATTCTATTCCTTTTTTTAAATAACTTTGTAATTTATAATATATGTCTGCAATCATATTTAAGAAATAAAAGCTGAGGTCAATGTTTTTAGGACACCCTGTATATTATATATATATATATATGTCATACCTGCCAACTTTTACGAATTTTTTGTAATTTTTACGAAAATGCGTTTGTCTTCACGATTTTACGATTGTGATCCATTTTTTACGATTTTTTTCCTTTTTCAATTGTTTTTAGTGAATTTTGTCGAAATTTTAGAATTTTTCGCCAATTCAGCAATTTTTGCCAATTGCATCGTGTTTTACCGCCAACTACCGACTACTTCGAATCCAGTAACCTGCGGTTTCTCCCAATTCGCTGCTTAACCAGCCAATACAATGCGCTGAACTTGTTTCTCCCACTCCTTTCTTTGTGGGCGGCAGATTATTTTTTTAGCATGGATTGTCGCATTCTGTTTTTTTTTTTTTTTTTTTTTTAAATTTTGTTTGCACGTGCTACGAATTTTCTTAATACGTCGTTGTTACGAAATGAGTTCAAAAAAACCGTATTCTCAATATTTTCGGCCTGCCTACAAAGCCGAATTTCCAACAATTAAAGAATCCTTCAAAGGAAATAACTATGCATTTTGCAACGTGTGCGTGTGTGACTTCATAATAAGTCACGGTGGAAGAAGCGACATTGTGAAGCTTGTTAAGTCTAAAAAGCATGAAGTTAATGCTTCGGCTTCGACAATGTCAAAGAAAGTGGATGTTTTTTTTTTTTTTTCAAATTTGGCTACCAATTCGGATGCCGATGTCATTTCGGCAGAATGTTTGTTTACACAGTTTGAAGACCTTGCTAGTTCTGGAGAAGATAAACTTGATGTCCTTGTTGGTACCTTAAAAAGAATAAAAATAGCTGATGGAACACCAAAATACGATAGACTAACAAGAGTTTTATGTGCTATTCTTGTAATTCCACACAGTAATGCTGAGTGCGAGAGAGTCTTCAGGGTTGTGAAGAAAAACAAAACTATGTTTCATTCTTTAATTTCACCAAAAACTCTAGAAAAGATTTTAATTGCTAAATGTTATGAGGAAACTAATTGTTATGACAGGAAATTTTCCAAAGAGTTTTTGGCTAAAGCCAAAAAATGCACTCTAAATTCACTGCAATAATTTTTTTGTGTAACATTAAGTTCTTGTTTTTATGTTTCCTAATAAATTTTTTAGTTACTACTTAATTGAGATTTACTAATGTAAGTACAATTTTCTTTTTTCTATTTGTATAAATTCTTATTTTTTTTAATATCAAAGCATGATATTAATTCTTCGTGTTCTTCTGAATTTTGGAGAAATCTTCTGAATTTTTATCTTTAGAGATTGGGAGGTATGATATGTATATTATGAGAGAATTATTGAATGTATCTCCAAACAAATACAGTGTTGTTGCAAGGGCAAATGGTTATAAGCCTGTCTCGAAATGAGATTCATTGATACATTATAAAGTCTGAAATCTGGATGTCTGATTTCTGGAATGGTCTAATATCCAGACTTCTGGATCATCATTCCACTAAGTAACTATATAAATAAAATAACAAGAAAAATTTCCCTCCTATCTTACAAAGTCTAGGAAAGGAGACTTTAATAATAAATAAGGAAGGTGCATTTTGAATGTGATTTTTCTTCCCACTAACTGAGATTCTCAATGTGTCACTTTCAAACACCAGCTGGCTAGGAAGATGTGCCCTGGCCAACAACAACGAATTTATTGACATATTGATGTTGGCTAGGATCACCCTTGAATAGCTGTGAGGGGGTGCTAAACAATATGTGAGACCCTAATGTTGCTGTGACTTAATGGCATTTTAGAAGATTCAAAGTCATGATCTAAAACATAAAAATTTCTGAAATCTGGAATTGTTGAAGTCCCGATGATTCTGGATCTCGGACTTTTATAGTCGAACTCTTCATGGTGTTTTGTGTAGTACCCATTGGATGACATACATGACTGCATGTTTAAATTAGAAAACTCCATTGTAGCCTTTTTAAGTGCACAAGCTTAAAAAAAAAAAAAAAAATCAGCAATTAAATAAAAGTACTTGACGGTTTTTATATATTAACATACTTTTTTTTTTATTTTGTTAAAACTTGTATTGTTATAAAATAAGCTAATATTTTGATTGATTGAAACTTTTTTTTAATATAAGTTAGTGATCCATGAAGATGCAGTCAAAAATAAGGCTCAGTTCTTAGGTTTTACTTGTTATACACTGAAGTAATTTCTAATTTAATTCTGGAAGGATTATGCATATTTTTATTAACAAAGGTTTGAGCTTCCAAATGAATTATAATGTTGTCTTAATGTGATTTATCATAATTTTAATTCTTTTATTTGTGTAATAATTTTAGTAATTTTATATATTGTGGAATTATTATATTTTATCATTTTTCATAATATAGGATTTATCTACATTAGCTCCACGTAAACCAGACTGGGATCTCAAAAGAGATGTTGCAAAAAAACTTGAAAAATTGGAAAGGCGTACTCAAAAAGCTATTGCAGAATTAATAAGTAAGATATCTTTAATGTTGATTAAACAATTGAATTATTTAATTTCTGTTTTAAGTATGCAAATTTTTATGTGTGGGTAATAGCTGGCACTTTTTTGGTAATGAAATACATTTCTGATACCAGTAGGTCTATTAAACAGATTTAAAAAAAAATTCTGATGGGTGTTGTTTAGCAGATGCTTTCAACAGATATTTATTCTGTGCAGCTTATCTCTGCTTCCAAGTGACCTTTTCAATATAAGAATATATTAAATTGGATACAGAATAAAACTTAAAACCAAAAAGCAAAATAAGACTTTCCCTGAATTCTCAATTCTTATTCCTTATTAGAACATAAATTCAGTTCAGTTCTTGTAGTTGTTAATATTACATTTCCATCGTGTACTATTTTTCTATGTGAGTGTGATATTTGATTGATTATCATATGCGTAAGAACAGTGGATTGATTCTGTTTCATTTCTTGTGAAATCCAGTAAAAATTAATCCAAGACAAATGTCTAGCTTTCTGTGAGAAGATTATTATCAGAAAGATGACGCTAATCAAATATGTGCTTGTATTATTTGATTTAAAGTTACTTGGAAATAAAAATTGTAGAAAATTTAGAATAATTTTTGGAATTTTTTAATATTTACAGGAAAGCAAAATCATGAGTTGTATTTTGAATCCATGGTGACGGCTAATACTAAATATTTGCTGAATTATACATTTGCATTTTATATTTTTTTGTTGATCTACATTTTAAAATTATAATTAAACAATGTAAAAGTACACATTTATTTTAATTTATAAATACTATAAAAATGATTGAACTGAGGGAAAATGGAAATTTTAATGAAATTTGTATGCAGCATTTTATCGATAAAGCATATAAAAGCAAACTATGTGACTTTGCCATTTTTTTGTTATTAAATATTGCTTACATAACTGGAATTAATTCAAGGCGAAAAAGTTTTATTTTCTTTTCATTCATACTAAATATTGTATTATAAGAAGTGCATGAAATATCGTTCATATCTTTGACAATAATTGTTATTGCAGGTATCTGGTTAAAAGGTGTAAAATAGTGCCATTATACCTTTTACATTTCTTGCTTCTTCATGCTAATTTTCAGCTTACTTCAGTAGTTTCAGTATTAGACAGAGCATGACAGAAACATGGAATGACTTATGTTCCTTAATAGTGAAGTAGTTAAATTATTCACCAGTCTCATGTTTATTCTTAGTTAGGATCATACATATGATTTTGAGTTTATTACTGATAACTTATTATGGATTAGTATATTTAAAAGGGCCTAGTGTACTAGCATTTATTTGCAATATTTTCACTATCATCAATGTATGAAAAAATATAGTATTCAGTTCTATACCAAGCCAATAATTATGCCTTTGTGTTGTTTAAAATCATCGATGTAATGTGTACATGAACGTGCATAAATCATTTCTAGCTGAAGTTTAATTATTAAATTGTATTTCTTTTATGTCTTACAGTTGAATGCTTGTATTATCTAAGTAAAAGAATCTCACCATTATATATATATATGTATATTTTTTTTCCCTTTTTTAAATTAGGAGAAAGATTAAAATCAAATGAGTGTTCTTTGGTTGATGCTGTCAGTTATGCTGAAGCAACAGTTGCTACTAATGATTCAGATGAAGACTAAATCCACATACTAAATATTGTATATAGTAATTAAATTATATATTTGTTATAATAATCTCAATTTTTGTTGCTTTCATTAAGAAAAAAGTATAACTACACAGCAAGAACACATATTACAAGCAAAATCAACCACTTTTGACTTCATTACTTAGTATTCATCACTTCTAAACTGGGAAGATAGGAAAAACAATTTTAGTTATGATGATATATAATATCAAACTGTGTATAAGTTGTATAAAGATATGTAATGATACAAAGAGCATAATGTTTTGATAAAGGGCATTTTTATTAACTAGCAATTCAAAGCAATATTATGATAGTTGCCGAAAACACTGATTTTTTTTTAAAGTTAAAAACTTATTATTACTATTTTTTTTTCTTAAAAAAAATTTTTAACTTGTGGCTTGTTTTGGAAAATCAGATAATTTAAATAAATCCGAATACAATTTAACAATTTCAAATAGGAACAAAAATTGTTTTAAAATTTAGGATGATTTGGATAACAATTATCTATTCAATAAAGTATTTAAAGAAAATATGAATCTTTTCAAAAATGTATAATCTACTGGACTGAATAACAATACAGTCAAAAGTCTTTAATCCGGATGTCCATAATCCGGAATGATCTATAATCCAGACCTCAAAGCTACGAACTTTCTGCCCATGCGTAAACACATAATGTGGTTACGCTTGTGCAGAAATGCACATAATACCTTTACGCATGCGCGTTTAATGTATAATGAATGGTATAAGCTAAGCTAAAATTACCTAATTATCTATTTCAGTTAAATTTGCAGATTGCGTTGTTCCTTAATCTTCTAATTGGATCTGGCTTATTATTTTTTGTAGACTGTTGGAGAAATTTTATAAAAGTAAGCTTGAACTTTCGATTATGTCAAAAAGAATTTCCGATTCTGGAGATGCCAAAGGATTTAAAAAGCGAAAGCATGTTTCGATGTCCATCAAACAAAAATTGGAATTGCTGCAATAAAATGGGTAAAGGCATATCCTTTGTTTCTCTAACCATTCTGAAATCTGTTTATCAATTTCACGCTGCTCTGCGGGGGATACATTGCAGCGCGCAATGAACTGGATGTTGATCTGTCAGCACTATCCTTATCTTCAAGGCAGATGTTTTTATTTTATTCGGCTTATAATTCATTACTAAATGTAGTATTTCATCTCGATGTACTCTGTCTTTGATATGATTTAAATCAAATTCCTCGTAATTATAAATATCACGAATACACATCAAATTGTTTTCTGGTTGCAATTTTCTAATTTCGACTACACGTAATGTATGTTTTACACATGCGTGCGTTGAAAGAAATGTTTAATAAAGTAAACAAATAAATATTAAGCTTTTTTTTTGTAAATTTTGATACCCTTTAGATCATAATTGCTCTTTGTTTCATAAATTACGGTTTCATATTTTTAATTTTATAATTTCTGCATGCCATCTTACCAGATTTAAATTGATGATCTATAATCCGGAATTGCCGAAATCCCGTCAAGTCCGGATTAAAGACTTTTGACTGTATAAATGTTTTAAACGTGATTAGAGTAATGTTTAAAATGTTTTGGACAAAATTATAATTGTAGTATGATATCTTATTTCTAGTTAATTATTTTTAATAGCAAATAGGGTAAAAAGCAAATTGAGGGCAAAGATAAAAATAAAAACAGTTAAATTTATTTGAAGCTAATGCGTACAAATTGTTACTTGTTGGTGATAATAAAAGAAAAATAACAAGACTAGAAATATTAGACATTACATATTTTAAGCTTTTTGTGGTGCAGTATATAAAAACTTGAAACAGAAAAATGAAAACGTGTGTTAAATTTATAAAACTGAAATATTTACGCATAATTCTTTCAAAGCATAAATATTTGAGATCTTATAAAAAATTCATATACATAAATAACTGAATTTATCAGAATATGATACGAGGGCCATCCAGGAAGTAGATTACGTTTCCGTCTGTGTCCGCTAGGGGCGGGGCTAGCGCGGCCATCTTGGGGTCAGAGCGTTGCGCAGCTCAGTCTGCATCTAGCCGTGCTAGTGAGAGGTTCGTGCTGTGCTCCGTTCAGATACTGTGACGGTTTGAAATGTCTGCGTTAATTGAAAATCCCGCGAGCTGCGAGGTGCGCTCAGTAATAAGGTTTCTGACTGCAAAAAACTGTCAACCGATAGAAATCTATCGGCAGCTTCGTGAAGTGTATGGGGACAACATTATCACTGAAGGTGGAGTGCGTCAGTGGGTCATAAGATTTCAAAATGGCCGAACCAATGTTCACGACGAAGATCAAAGTGGGAGACCCAGCATAGTGACCCCGCCGAACTTCTCGAAAAAGTCGATGCTAAAGTCCGTGAAAATCGAAATTTCACAATAACGGAACTTTCTTTGAGTTTTCCACAAATTTCGCGAAGTTTGTTGCACGAAATCATCAGCGAAAAGCTTGGTTACCACAAGTTTTGTGCAAGATGGATTCCAAAATCTTGACAGAGGACCACAAAAAATCAGCGAATGGCTGCAGCGTTGAACTTTTAAGTGGGAGTTTTTCCTCATCCGCCGTACAGTCCCGACCTGGCACCGAGCGACTTCCACCTATTCCCAGCAATGAAGAAGTGGCTGGCTATGCAGCGTTTTGATGACGACGCACAGCTGCAAGAAGAGGTAACGAAGTGGTTGAAGGCGCAGGCGGCCGAATTTTTCGACGAAGGAATTTCCAAGCTCGTACATCGCTACGATAAATGCCTTAATTTGTATGGTGACTATGTAGAAAAGTAGTATTTGAGTGTGGCTTTCATCTGTATATAATAAAATTTGTTTCCTATACTTTGTTTATTTTTTTATTCCAAAACGTAATCTACTTTCTGGATAGCCCTCGTATAATTCACCTCTTTAACAACATTTATTAATTATCATTATTTACATCATAATACTCTGTATCAGTGTTTCTCAACCTTCTGACTGACGCATACCACCTAAACAAAACTGAAAACCTTTAGTACCACCACTACAAAGCACTACTACCACCACCATTCTTGAAGAAAGCTCAGATCGTATAAATTTACAAGTGTTAGAGAAAAAACTCAATCAGGATGTTGGGGTTTTAATTTTGGAATTTAATAGTTAAAAATACTTTGGTTACCACCTATTTTTCTCTTGTGTACCACCGGTTGAGAACCCCTGCTCTATATGAATAGATTTTCAAAAAATATTTAACTATATGATTTCTTTTATATGTTTATAAGGACAAGACTCATAACATACAGTTTTTATTGTTGAGTCTAAACAGTTTAAAACATATATATATGTGCATTTATTTTTGCCAATTTAGAGTTTTTGATATTGTTAAAAATTATTGAATTTGAGTAGAAAATTGGGAAATGCCTAAATGTTAAATTATTTGATATGAGTTAGAATGAATATTCTAATGAGAACTTTGGAAAAAGAGTTGTAATGACTTTTTTATTACCTACATATCCTGTGAATTTGCTTAGGACTATATAAAACTGTAATAAAAATTATCATTTAAAAAGATACTAACCACTTGCATGGCCAGCCTTCAGGCATGTGTAACTAGTAATTAATCCTCTGTGTGGCAGTGCAGCATGGATCTGCTCATGAAGACCTGTATTTAAACAGTTTCTATCAGTTAAATTTTTATTATTACTTATTTTAGTCTGTTTTCATAAACTTTCATTTATAAGATGATATATGCATTGTTATAGAAAGTAAGAAAGTGAAATCTTTTAAATTTCAATATAATATATACCAAATTGAAAATATAATATATACCAAATTGGGCATTGAAAAATTAATAAAACTTGAATCTATTAACAACCCAATTCATTGCCAAGGGTTGTTATTTTCAAAAGAAATGATCAAAACAATAATCCAATTTAGTAAAATCTAAAAAATAAATAACAAAGCATACCACCTCATTACCAGAAATCCATTTTCGAAAAGTTCACAGCACGAAGGGGAGGGACCAAAAATAAGTGCTGAAAAAATTTTTAAAAAATTACTCATTTTAGCAATTAGTCATTTTGGTATTTGCATATTATCACAAACATCTTAACAGAAGTCACCAAATGTTCAGAATATGGCAACCATGCAAATAACCATTCTTTAGACAACCATACTCGCAATACTGCTTCAATCAAGCATGAATGGCCACCATTTTCATATGTGTTATTTTTGTTGTAGTCCAAGCTCCACCAGTGTTAAAGAAATTTCCCCCCCCTTGATTTTAAAATATGCATTTGTGGAATTTGCTGGTAAAGGGAAAAAAAGGCAGTAACATTTCTTCAGAAACACAGTACTTTGCCCCAATCTCTAAGCAGTACAATGGATACAATGGTAGATAGCCAGGGTATAGACAATAATTCTCTTTTTTTACTTTCTTATGCGAAGTAAAAGAAGTATTGTAATCACAAAAAATTCTTGGTATCATATTTCAATGAAAATATCCATTTTGACTGCTATTGAATGCAATTTAACAATGTTTTTGCATGACATTTTTACGCGAGGATGGAATAAAGGACTCATTTTCCCCCAAACAAATTATAAAGCTGATTTAAAATGGATTCAGAAGAGATTTTTTCCCTGGTACCTGTACTATGTATGTATCTCATATAACTAAAAAATGAGTAGTCTCAGAACGTTGAAATTTTGTATATAGGACTGTTATAATATGTAGCTGTGCACTTCCCTTTTTGGTTGCAATTGTCCACACCAGAAGTATATAACTATATGTGTATATATATCCACTCTGTTACTCATCTCAGTTTCTTTATTCATATATGTTTGTAAATTGTGCATTTTTTGCTTTAAAAATGATTGAATTATGTTGTTCTTAGCTTCCAGTTAAGGTTTTTATGCTTTTAGTGAACCTGCATGTTTTAGTTGTATAATTATCAACAATTTAAAAGTTAAGTGCGGCTAAGCCTAATTTTTGTTTAGCGTAGCAGTTAGTTTACATTTGAAACTTGGCAGATAGTGGATTTGTTGCCAATCTAGAGAAACTAAGCATTGCAACAACAAAGTAATGTCTTCTTTTATTATTGTGAAATATTCTGGGTCAGATTTTAACTTCGAATGTAAAGACAACTCTCGTTAAATTCAAAACATTAAAATACCCTTTTACAGTTGCCAGACTGAGAATTACAAAAGCTAAACATGTTATACTAACAAAAATGCATGTGCATAAATTTAACACTCAGTTTTCTACAAATATCCTAAAGAAATAGCATGCTTCTTGCGGAGAAGCGAAAAAAAATCGAAAGTAATCAGTAAACATCATTAATTTGTGGCAGCTTTTAACCCGAAGTGTTTACACGTCTGACGTTGGACGTCTCTTTCACCAATCTGAGCAATAATTGATTATAGTTATGTGTTCAAGGTCTGTTTAATAAGTGAAAATGATAACATAGCTACGTACATTTTTCTGGGAATGCGGGTTCAGAGAAATGTCCCGTTAGACATCCAGTCCGGTGTATCTGAAGCATTGTGCATTCTACAAAACTCCGATGTTAGACTTTTCGAAGCCACACACTCTGAAGGACTATTGGTTTGTTTAACGCAGATCGCTGGATTACATGCTGCAATCATTTTGCCTTTCCTTATAACTCACAGGAGTAACTCTCACTGGGATGAAGGTTCTCGATAGATCAATGAGTATGGAGGCTACTGGTACTCCTTACAGGCTATCAACAGTTCTTAGAATATTCCATTGTACACTACCGGAAATTTATGTTTTCAGCTGTGAATCCAGGAAGTAAAAATTCTGTTCTTATTGATACTGTGATATCGTCTTGAGTTGATATCTTGTAGATGGATTTAACTTGTTTAAATTCGAACAAGATTATGCCCTCAGAGGCACAACGCAGTTCGTTATTTTTTTATGCCAAAGAAAAAATTTTATTTTCTTAGAAAGCCTAAATCGACTATGCATGGGTTGGTAGTGTCTGCTTACATATGCCGTGTGATGGTAGGTGGCCCACCCAAATGTGATACTAACATTTAACTTTCGATGAATTTCGATTTTATCACCAGTCATAGTCTGGAGGACGCAGAGCGGCGGCGTCCTTTAGACTATGTACGGTGATAAAGTCCCTTTATTGATTTTTCTGATTCATTTTCATTCGGTGACGTTTTATCATTTTCACAGTTTTTAACTTAACACATTATAGAATAATGCTGACCTTTGCTTAGGACGCATCTTACAAAAAGTCAATATTTTGAGCTCACATGGCCTGCTCTTAAGCATCTAAAACAGGCACCTTTCTCTTTTAGTATATTATTGCGTTTTCATCAATTGAGGAATCAGCAGCTACAGCACAGTCTTGTGTATTATGAATTTTTCTATCACAAAAAATGCAAACTCTTTCTTTAATTCGAGAATTTTCTGGTGAAAGTAAGGCAGCACCCATTGGAATATTTTTATTTCTACCGTTAATTCTCAAATTATTTTTTGTTTCGTCATTAAAGTTACATTTTCGAAGTTTTAATCTGTCCTCATGTTCTACTTTAAGTTTTAAAAAGTTAAGTAATTCTGTCGTGCAGTCCGAAATATTCTTAGAAATACGATAGCGATTCCAAGTTTTAAATGTTATTTCTGTAAGTGCCGATTCGACTAAGGGAAATAGCATAGCTGTGTACTTATCTTTTGTCATACCCAAGGAGTCTAATGCTCTCAATTGAGCTTCCTAACTATCATATAACTGAACTGAAGATTTCTGCAGATGAAGCGTTCCCTTTTCCATTACTAAACTTGAGTTCTCTTATGTAATATTCAATTAAAAACTCTTCCTTGCCACATCTAGACTTTAAAAGCTCAATAGCTTTTCCATAATTCTGTTTAGAGGAGGAGGACCTTCTTATAATTTATAAACTAATGAATTTGGTTTCATGCATTAAAATAAATAATCAAATTTATCTTCAGCTGTAAGAGATTCATCATTATGAATTATGGAAAACTGAGTCCCAAAACCGATCCAACTTTAAAAATCCCCATTGTATTTCTGTAATTCAATTTTAGGTAATCGAAATTGAAGCTTTCTAGAATCACACAAATGAGAAACTTTTTCACATTTATCTAAAGACTAACTTGTTCTCTAATTTTATAAAATTGAAGAGTGTACTCTACTGTCTTAATCATTTCCTTTTCAATTTCAGCTTCTGTTACATTTTCTTGGACAAGCAGGTCTTGATATACTACTATCTTGTCATCTATTGATTTGAGATTTACAAATTTTACAGGAAAAGATTCAAACTGTGCCAAAATTTAACCTTTAATTTCACAGCTCAGCAGGTCACTAAGTATTTACTCACGTAATAGTAACTTTTTTTGGCAATTTTTCATTGTGAAAGTCTAGGTGCGATTATTATGCGGGGGAATCTACTGCACAATATTGTACACTTTTGACAATTTTTTTCTGCTTCAAAACAGGGGGGGTGCGACTATTATGCGAGTAAATATGGTATAGTCTCGGGTAAAGACCGATCGTAATACTCGCTGTTCCATAATCTTAGTACATAGTTAAAATCATAAACGAAACTAACACAGTAGTTCAAACTGACTTCATTTATTTTAAAGTCTACTGTTCAAGCGTCAAAATGTGGCAAAGTGACCTAAAAAATAGTAAAAAGTCTTTTGCCGGTTCTGCTTACTGCAGTGTTAGTATAAATTAACTATAAAGATGGAGATATAACATACTCACATCTTTATTCAACTGCCGAGAAGAATTCTAAAAGGTAAATGAAACATTTCATTGCCATTCCACCAAAAAAATGCAAGATGATTTAATTTTCAACGGTTACCACTTCAAACTACTAATAACGTTAAACACAATACAATACAAAGCACATCCAAAGACTGAAGCATGACGATCTCCGAATACTTCGAAGTCAGCCCTGAATGAAAAACTGTGAACTAATGCTCTCTCTGGTCTTATTAGTCTCTAGCCGATGAGAAATCTTTAGTACCGTCCATTTCTCAAGGTTGAAGTTACTATATAATAGTTTATATAAGAGCCAGATACAATTACAGTTACACTCAATCAATTACAGTTGTATGGGGACCGGACTAAAATATCACCAAGTTTAGCAATTTTTAGCGGCTCCTCACCAAATTTGGCGATAAAAATTAGTTGCCGAAATGTCTCCCAATTTAACAAGATAGCCATTTCCCTTAGTGTTAAATAATAATGGCCCTGTAATCTTATTTTTGAGGCAGAATCTCGTCTTTGCAAACTTTTGATGTTACATTATATGAAAGATACCACAATTTTACTAAAATTATTTACAAGTATACAAAATTCATAAAAATTGTAGTTAGTTTTCTGTTTCGTTGGCGCAAATCTCGCCAAGCAGACTTTATTGGCGACAACATACTTAACAAATGTTAGTTCTAAGAATTTTTTATTTTGAAGACATAAACATTTTAATATCATTTAAAATTTAGTAAAAAGCCAATAAATAAAGACAATAAATTTTTAAAAAGTCATTAATTTAAGAATTTATTATGCTTTCATGGTTCAACAAGCTGATTCGCCGGTTCCTATCACATGACCCTAAGTGATCTCATTGCACATAAACTACGCTAGAAAAATATAATTCTCTCAGTAACTATCTACATAAATGTCAAGTTAAATCTTAATTTAGAATACAAGTTTAAATGGAAGAATTATTTCAATTTGTACGAATAGCTTACTCAGAAATTATGTAAAACCGCAGTGCTTTACTTCGATAGTGTATTCTCATTAGAATTGATGAATTTAACCCTTGACTTTACCTTTTCTGTATTTTCGCCTTCTGGTGAGCGGTGTGATTGCATTCTAATTGACTTTATTACTGCGAATGGATTTTGGGACTTAAAAATTCTATATAATTGTATTGAAAGAAACAATCAATCTGATAAGAAATGGTTGCGACTTGTTTAAAAAATGAAGCGTAAAAGGTTACCAGCGAGGATATTCCATTTGGCATCAGTTGTACCATT